AGCACTTGTAACAATGTAAATACTGTACCTGTAAGCACATGCAGATAACAAATAAAATTAAATTTAAAAAAAAAAAAAAAAAAACCTCCCTCAAAAGTACAGTCAGCTCCATGCTCCTGCTCTGTACTATGTTTATGGATGGGACCCTTTAAAATTGTTAGTTGATGCCTTTGAAATCAGCAGGTTAACCTATTAAGCATATTTGATCATGTTCGTCATGTGGAAAATTGCACTATATTTAAGTGTTAATTATTGTTGTTGTTGTTGTTGTTATTATTATTATTATTATTATTATTATTATTATTATGAGAAGATGAGTTAAATTAATTAACTGAACTAAATTGATCACTCAGCCCTGATGATGAAAATGATTTATTGAGCAAAATTTAAAGTCAAAGTTTAAATTTTTTTGTTTTTTTTTTAATTTCTTGAATCATAATTTGCCTTGTGGCATTTGTTAGTAAAAGTTGTAAACACAGAGGTCTGCAAAGATCATTTTTTTACTTTGCAAGTGGTGTTTAATTTGAGACTTTGATTGACGGGGTGATTGTTTAACTGTGATTGATTTGCATGTGTACTGAGTTTGTGTTACACGGTATGCTTTAGAGGGTGTTATTACTACAATATTTTAGTTTTCTACCAACTGTTGTTTAAAAATTGAGTGATTGTTATTAAATCTGACTCTATATATTTGTTTCACCTTTCTGCTACTACAAGGTCTTACTGGCAAGTTGCTACATTCCTTTTTATGCTGGACTGACATTTCCTCAATTCAAAGGCCAGGTAAATAAAGTTACAAAATTAATCATCTGTTCAATCTATCAACTTTGATGAATTTTTAATTACCCTCTATTTATATTATGAGCAATGCACCAAGTTAAACATGATTTCCTATAAATGTAGTCGACCAGGCATGGTATTTATTCATTGCTTGACTTTTAGATTGAAGTAACTTGTAGTTCAATGGGTCAATAGCTAAAAATCAGCTCAGCCAATCAGATTGCTCTATTGCCTGTCCAATATTGTCACTTTTAAGAGTACAAATATTTGGTCAGCTGTACTGTCCCAAATGATGCTGCTAACCACTCCTAAAGGCTTATTATTAAGTGTTATTGATTACTTTTCAAAACAAAGTAAATGTTTTTGTATAGAAGATTCGAACTTTTTCTTTTTCTTCAATTCTTACTCTCTTGTCGTCGTTCTATTTTTGAGTACACCAGTCAGAATTGCCTGCTTGAAGTTTACTTTTTGTTTCCAGTCTTTGATCCCCTGATTTGTTCTAAAAATGTTCTGTCATGAAATAAATCCCTTATTAACTGTGGTGGTGTGGGACCATACTGAGACTCACAGGGAGAATTATAATAATATTATTATCAGCACTTAGGCTTTCTCACCCAGACCTCACTCTACTCTGTCTGTATTGTCAAGACCTTGGACCGATAACATCCTGGTACAGCTTGCATGCTTGGTTAATAATTGTTTCATTAATATTATGTGTATTAGTTGTAAAAAAAAAAACTAAATCATCTGGTCAAAAAGGTATTATGAAACTACTAAGGGCATGACTGTATTTCACTGCTTTTTACTTGGCAGAGCATTGATTGATTAGTAACCACCCTCACCTTTTGGTTTGTCCTCACAATCGGGGCTGTTGAACATCTCTTTTATTTTTTGACAGAAATGGGTTGATGGTGGACTAAGTGATAATTTGCCAAGGCTTCCGTTTGGCCGAACTATACGCATTTCTCCATTCAGTGGTAATGGCAATGATATCTGCCCACAGGACGAGTCGCAGGGCTTTACCAATGTCACATTCCGTAATATGAATGTCTACGTAAACAGGGAAAATCTGCAAAGGGAACTGCAAATATTTATACCTCCCAAAAAGGAAGGAATAGAGAGTTTAGTTCAGTTAGGTTATAATGACACTCTACGGTTTCTTCAAGAGGAGAACCTGTGCAGCTATCCTGTAGCCCCTCGACCATCTGCTTTGCCCATGGAAAATCAAGATTAGAATTTATTATGAAATGGCCTTTTTATATGTACTGTTTGAAACCTATAGTGTCTGCCTTAGTTAGCAATTTTTGTTTTGTTCCAGTACCCTTTGTATTTTAGTCTTTCACCTTTGTAAATCCAGGGAAGATATAGAAAAGGGATTGAGAGGTACTTAAATAAAACAGACCAAGTTGGCTCAGCAAAAGTTTTAAAAAGGTGTTGCCCATTGATTCTAGTTTCTCAAGGCTGTGGTCTAAGAAAAAGTATGAAGAGCCCAAAGGTTCCTAACCATGAAATCCTGGGTGCCCAGCATTTACGCTTATATGAAAAAGTAAGTTTTTCCAGTCGCCCAAAGGCTCAGCTAAGCCCTGTTTCTTCAAGCTGTGAGTTTCCGAGGATTCAGAGGACTGAACCCCAACTCTGTTNCGCTTATATGAAAAAGTAAGTTTTTCCAGTCGCCCAAAGGCTCAGCTAAGCCCTGTTTCTTCAAGCTGTGTGTTTCCGAGGATTCGGAGGACTGAACCCCAACTCTGTTTCTCGACTTTTTCTAAAACCTGTGTCCAGTTGTCCTTGAACCCAACCTGTGTTCTATATGGTCACACGGGTCGATTCATGTTTTAGTTATTCCAGCTTAAATATGCTGCTGATGTAATGACTGATGCGCAAATGAGCAAAAATATTATATACAGTGGGACTCCGACTTACGGTCACTTCGTTAATGCGGACACCTCGTTATTACGGCCACCCCTTTTTGTCGTGGCGAAACACCCATGCATTTACTATAAGAACACCCCGTTAATGCAGCCACCTCGTTAACACGGCCAACGGCCGCTTTCTGAAACCCCAACCTGTATAAGCCTTTATTATTTTACCCCCTTTATGCGGCCACTCAAACCAGTTATATTCATCGTTCCGTTGTTAATAGTGTATGTGCTGATTGAAGTTTCATTGCTTTAAAGATACATATCTACATTCCAATGCTTATCAAAGAAAAGCTGTTTAGAAGTGCAATTGTGAAATATCTGTTTAGAAGTCACTCAATTTAGACCAGCCATGAACTTTTACCCTTGGCCCGTTGGTGATCGTATTAACGGGGCTCCACTGTGTACTAAGCAATTAGATTATGAGCTCGACATTTCTATCGCGTGATGGTGGACTTGGGCGCAGCCCGAGTCAGCTTTCTCGCATAGAAATCGAGAGCGAATAATCTCATTGCTTTAGTATAAATCTACTAGTCGTTCAAAACTTTAGAATATCTAAACACTCTTCACAGACACCTCGAAAACGCAAATAAGCGGCCGTCATTCTGTTAACAAGCGCACACTGCTACGCTTCTCACTATCTATCACAGTATAGATAGTGAGTAGCGTAGCCAATCAGAGAACAGCATTTGTAATAGAACGCTAGTAGATTTATGCTAAAAATAAATAGATCGATATAATGAATGGGCAATTTGATATTATGTAGAGCAAAACAGGGTCATGTATACATGTCGACGCGTATTTTTACTATGCAGTCATTGAATTTAGTTTGAGGGTGAAAAATTTTGTGTCAAAGAAAATATATATTGCTGATGCTGTTACTACATTGCATTATTAATAAAATCAATTGGCAAAAATAATTGTTTCTCATTCCAAGATAACCTTGAATACCTTTTTAATTTTTTATATGAGTAGCCAATCTGAGATTGTTAACATGAATACTAATAATCATATCCTTGTGTCTTTGTTTTGTTTTGATTACAAGAGAACAATACGCAGCTCCAACTGTTGCGACTGAAACAAGTTTTGGTAAATTCAGTTCAATTTTCTTATTGGAACCCCGAGTTCTATCGGGACTACTGATTGGTTGTGGCTGAAATGACTGCTAGTGAACATTGATCGACTAATTCAATCGAAAACGATTGTAAGCGGAAACTTTTTGTTTCAGCCGACTTTGATGCCGGCAGTCCGACCAACCAACTTAAAACCGGATTTGGCTGATCGAACGCGGAAAAACCCAACCAACCTTAGTTGTTTACCAGTATACTTATGCAAATAACCAACCTTAATTGTTTACCAGTATACTTATGCAAATGATGCAATCTGATTGGCTGAGCTATCGTATACTATCAGCCATTAGTGTGCAGACCCTGTGCAGTGGCCAGGGGTCGTTCATAGGCAAAGTTTTCTCATTTTTCTGGATAGTTCATTTCCCAAGCTATAGAACACTTGAGGAAGGAAACTGACCGTTATGCGACTTTAATACTTAACCCTTTGACTACCAAATTTTCACAAGAAAGCCGTTTTTTGCCGTTAAATCATGACGCTAAATGGGCCTTAGTCTTGCCACAGGCGGCCCAGACGTTGAATACGATTAATACGTGACATTAGGCCGTTGGCGATTGCGTTGCAATTTTAGCCCTTACGAAATTGTATACGTGTATGCCTAGGG